TGCTTTGGCACCACAGCGCCACTTACAGGCCTGGCATACATTTTGCAGCGTTTTCATGCATTCGTGTGGACGATCACATTTATTTTACGTCTCCGTCTTTACGACAAACGTTCTGGAAAATATTAGCGTTTCGTGTTCGTTTTGACTTCGTGTGGACGGGGCCTAAAAGTCCCGGAGATACGAGAATAAGCCTGCAGTCCCCCCGTGGTACTTATCAACTCATGAATCCCTTTTCAGATGTAAATGCCCCATTAGCACTATGGCTGGAGAACAAATCTACCCCCTTCAGTTTCGGTTTCAGCTAAAGTATCTCTCTTTGAGTGTTTTACCTGAGAGCAGGGGGGGGGGGATCATATTTGTAATTAAATATAACTAGGTCTATGTCATCAGTGTCGCCAACACCGCAATGATTTCAGCCCCCAGCGCAGCGATCAAACGATAACTGATCTGTACAATGAAAATAGCTGCATGAGCTGGAAAGCTGTAGAAAGCAACAATATTTATACAATAATGACCATTTATTCGATAATGACCGTTATTTATTTGGGGAGTAAAAAAATAAAAACGTGATCACTGAGTCCGGGAACGGCCATTTTTTCCCCAAATATAGTAACACCTCACTCCTAACATTTTTCCGGTAGTGACATCACGGTGTGGTAAGCCTAGCACCATTGCAGTTGGATGTTTGAATACATCGGGTAAAAGTGAAAAAAAAAAAGAAGTTATTTCACCTTCCTGATTCATGATCAACCACGGACGGGTTACTATGGTCCTGGTCGTTGGATGGCCAACTTGAAGAGGAAGGATTTGTCATTGAACTTCCGGCCAGAGAAAAAACACATTAATCCATTACTCTCTTCTTCGCATAGTGCACTGGTCATCGCCATCATGGATAATAGCGTGTTGTGACAAACACCAGATACAGCACTGAGACTTACTCAACAGTCAATACCGCACCGAGACGGTGGTAGTAGTGCGCTTTGAAAACATGGATGTCTCCAGTAAAGCACATTCAAATGAAATTACTCTTGACTAAAAACCTTAAAACATTAAATACTATTTAAAATAAAAACATTAAATACTAATCCTAAATACTATACTATAACATTAAATACTATTTAAACTAAAACATTAAATACTATTTAATCTCAAGGCACCTATTCAATTTCAATAGAAGCTAAATAGGTATATTGAATTGAACTGAATTGAAACCTTCCAGTGATTTTACTTAAAAATTACTTTTATTTTTTATCGATATATTACTCTTTTAGGAATGGGAAGATGAGTTGGGGTCATTGCTTTGTACAGCTGAAGAAGAAGAGCATGACAAGGATGATGATGATCATGAAGCAATTGAGAAATTGACTGCTTTGTACGAGGAAGAATGGAGAGAAAAATCCAAAGAACAGCTGATGGAGCCCAAGAACTTCAAAGAAATTCCCGAATTTCTTTTTTTAGAACAGAAGAAAATGCACTTTGAATCGGTAAGGTACAAGATTATATTCAAATTTTCTTTTTATCCTAGCAGTTACTTAACTTTCTCATGTTGATCATAAGTTCATGAATATAAATAATTTTCCCAAACCATGTTGTAGTGAGTTTCTGGTGCCAATTCAGAACACATTCTTTGTCAGGGGCATTTTTAGGGTCTTAACACATTCAGAGCTTTAGGTCAGGCCCCAGTTAGGTTTTGGGGCCCCATTCTTAGGTTTTCAGATTAAATTCTATTAAAATATGTACATGTCCAGTTTTATTAAATAAAATTGGACATGTACCAATTTTCTCTCTGGGCTGGGTTTTAACTGAATGCAAAGTCAGATTCTAATTATTAAGACTAAAGCACTTAAAGATAACATCACGTTCGAAGCTCCTTAAGTTTAAAAAAGTTGGAGATGGAGTTATGCTTTAGGGTATTTACAAGATTTTTTTTACTAAATGAAAAACAATTGCATGGCTGCTGCAATAAGTTGTGTGTAACATCACACCCTAAGACTTATGCATGCATGCGGTTTATAGAGGAAAGGAGGAGAAAGATCATTTTCACATTCTGATGGAATTCCAGCAAAAGGTTTGAGGAGTTTAATTAACAGTAGCTTTGATGAGTCCTACGAATGTCTGTCTGTCAGTCAGTCTGTGTGTTCATCTTGCAAAACCCCAATGTCATAATTTTTCCTACTATCACCATTTTTTATGTTTTTCAGGCTGAACATCTATGTGAATATATAATCAAGTATACCAAAAATGGCTCAGGAGATACAAAATATAAAAGCATAAAGAAGTGGTATTGGCCAATCGTGAAGAGTGTTACTGTTAGGGTACCAAACAATGACTTTCTGCAGAATGTCACACTTGTGGATCTTCCTGGAAATGGCGATCGTAACAAGAGCAGAGACAGAATGTGGCAAGGGGTGATTTGATTTTAAATATTGTTTTTTTTCTTAAAACCTTCAATACTTTTAAAGCATTGAAAATGTATTTTTGTTACTATCGTATATAATTCTTTTTTTTTTTAGATTATTGGAGACTGTTCTGCTGTCTGGGTTGTTACTGAAATCAACAGAGCAGTTTCAGAGAGAGAAGCCTGGGAAATCCTACAAAATGTCAGCGGTCTAATTGGGAATGGAGGAGAATGTCAGCACATTCACATTATCGCTACCAAATCTGATGATATTGGTAGTCAGTAAGTTTACTAATATTCACTAAAGTGTATAGTCAAATAAATCTTAGAGAGCAGCTTGAGAATTGTTAAGCTTTGGTTAATATTTTCTTTTCTATTAGCTCTGTAGCTGATACTCAGGCTTATATACTTCAAAGAAATGAGGACGTGAAAGGAAAACTCATCAAAGAAATAAACAAAATGAAGAACATTAAGGTGATTTTTGAATTCCATTAAAATATGTAGCAAAGTGTTGATCTATAGCTAGAAACAGAATCAATAACAGCTTATGAAAATATATAAATCTTGCCTAGGAACACTTCAGTGATGACTGTATCCAAGTGTTCACAGTGAGCTCCAAAGAATTCCTCACAAATATACATCTAAGTCCAGAAAACACTGGTACGTTTTCTCCCTATCAGTGACGCAACTTTTTACGCTACAATATAGTAGAACCACAAACTGGCTATGACATTTTGTATATAAGAATATAATTAAAGACATCATTTTGCCTCCATAGAAATTCCCAGGCTTCAAGAATTTTTGCAAAATCTCAACGACAGTCACTCAGAGACAATACACTTTGTGTCTGGAGCATGTGGCATCCTCTCTCTGATGCACGGGGCCAGGTTAAGAGAAGAGGTAAGAGTGAGAAGTTAATATGTTTCTCCATCTTCAAACGTTTCAACAGATTTAAAAAATGGATATTCAGACCATGCAAAGATGTGTTATTAGTTTATTTACATTTGGATTCTGAGAAAGACCATAGAAAGTCAGTAAGTCCAAGGTTTGTTGAATGACAGGTGCAATGAAATGTGTAATGACATTAATATTACAAAAGGTTTTTTCATCCATAAGGAACACAAAATGTTGAAAACTCAGAATTCTAAGAACCATTATTAGTCTTCCATTTTGATTTCAAAAAGCTTGTCTCTGCAGCCTAATGCAATAAAAGAGTGGTAAATTCATGATACTTTAAGGGAGTGTTGGCATAATGGTCAGAGCAGTGCGCTTGTGCTCTGAGACAGTTGCAAGTACCCGGTTCGATCCACACACCTTTCACTCTGGGTTCCTGAGCAAGACCCTTAACCACACACTGCTCCCTGGGTGCAGGGGGATGGGTTAAATGCAGGGAGTTAATTTGTTGCACTGGGGTGTGGCGGCCTAGTTGGGGAGTGGCGGCCTAGTGATTAGGGCATTGCACTTGGAATCCAGAGGTTCAGAGTTCAAGCCCCACTCCCACAGAGTGTCACTGTGAGTCCCTGAGCAAAAGACCCTAACCTCACACTGCTCTCCTGCTCTGTACTTGTGACAGTGTAATACAGGGGTGTCAAAGTCGTTCCATAAAGGGCCGTGTGGCTGCTGGTTTTCTTTCCACCCAAGCAGTAGCACACCAGACTCCATTCATCCCATCAAGTCATCAGGTTAAGACTAGACTCACCTTGATGAGATGAATGGAGTCTGGTGTGCTACTGCTTAGGTGGAAAGAAAACCAGCAGCCACACGGCTCTTTCTGGAATGACTTTGACACCTGTCGTGTAATACCATTAAAAGCTGGGGGGAAAAAATTTGACCAAAAAAAAATTTCTCTTCGAAAAAATTTTATACTTGTCAATATACTGGAGACAACAGTATTGAAGAGTTTATCGATTTCATGCTGTGATCTATTGTAAATAAACCTTGTAATCACTTGGAACAATAGGTAAAGTGGACGTTATGGAAGCCATTTTGTCATTAAATGTTGCATAAAATTATACATTGTAGATTTAAAATAGCCAAAAACAATTGTTGGCATTGTTTTTTTTTAGAATGGCAGAAATAAGGAAGTGCGCAATGCCCTTGACAAAAATCTCAGTCTACAAACTGAGTCAGTCAGAAATGAAATGGCCAAAATTAGAAGAGCCTTTGAAGAACACCTTCAAGAAGGAGTTGAGAAATCCAAAAGCTCATGTGAAGAAATCTTGAAGGCTGCCCTGTATCCCAAGGTAAGTATTTATATAGTAGTAAGAAAGTGTTTAAGATTTATATGATTTTCTTATGTTTCTCTAGCTATTAGTATCAATTCTTGTCAGATTGTATAGTTTATTTACCCTCTTTTATTAATTATACTTTTATTTTTCTTTATGTGCTTACCTTTAGGGTAAGAGTGGCAAGAGCTTCCATAAGCAGCTGAAAAAAGTAGTAGAGAATGGCGGCATCTGGAAACCTAAAAAGGGAAAAGAAATAAATCTCAACATGAAATTAACCTCCTGTCTGACTGAAAGCATTGACAAGCTATTCAGAGAAACCTTTCCGTAAGAGCTTCATAAGCACTTTAGAGTGATTTACAAATATACTGATATATCTTTAACTTTACCTAATTGTTTTGTTGCACCAGACAACATAAATGTACTTCCACATTCCTAGGTGTGATGTTCACTTCAGGTGCCGTTCTGAGCCTGCTGAAACATTGCCGCAGTTTTACACCCACTGTCTTAAAGAACCTGCTTAAAGTGACTATTAACAATGATCTTCACTTGATTTGGGGTTTATCATCCCACCAAACAAAAATATGCAAGATTCTAAACTTTGATTTTATTGAATCACACATCCGTGGTGATGACTTGATTAGATGATTGGAGTCTGGTGTGCTATTACTTGGTTGGAAAGAAAACCTGCAGCCACATGGCCCTTTCTGGAGCCAGTTTGAGACCCTTGCTATAGAGGGATCTGAAAAGTCGCTAAACATTGCAAAAAAGTTGCTGAGTTCGCAACAGTGCTGACAACAGTAGAGCAGTTCCCAGGTTAGTAAGAGGCAGCATACATTCCAGACAGGGTTCTAGTGCCCCCGATTTACATTATGAATATGTTATTTTATTGAAAGGGCTTTGAGCTGATCAGACATTGAAGAAGTTATTTAGTTTGGGGAGTTTGACAACATTTTGTGAGCCTAACAGCATGAGTGCTCCAATAATACCAAGAAGTGACTGATGTGATGACTGATTTTAAAATGTTTCAGAAAAGAGGGACATTGTGGACCATTCAATGGAGCGATCAATAATTTTACACTTGGCACTGATGGACTAAAACAAACATACAAAGATGTGGAACTGCAGCTGCTATTCCTCAAGTCAGAGGTAAGTAAGAACAATACAAGGATGTGAAAAGATTAAATTCATTTGTGCTGGCTCAAAGAGAGATT